AACGAAAAGCCAAGCATGGCACCATCACAAGAGCCCTGGGAACTCTGAGAGAATCCTGAGAAACTCCGACACATGGAGAAAACAAACAAAAATGAATGTAACTAAATTAATCTCCATAAAGACGAAATGAATAGAGAACAGAGAAAAACTAAGAGGGGCAGCTGGACTTTTCACCCCAGGATCTGACTCAAAGAGATCAGGAGGTGTGCTAAGTGAGCAAGGCATCAAAATGTTTTCAACACAATGGTTACAGCCTCAGACAGACAAGTGCTAAGGCACGGCGGCACCAGTGCTAATTAAGTTTAAAGTAGACGGTCTGTCTTTTCCCCCACCGGCCCGACTCGCTCTCATTTCCTCATTTTACTCCTGCCAAACCTGCTGAGCTCTGTCCTTGCTGTAAGTGGCACTGGCTTTCTGACAGGCCTGTTGCGACAAAGATGGTAATCAGAGGAGGTTGGTATAATGGTCTCTACCGGACACACACAAACACATCCTTATTATTATTACAACAGTATTACAACATCTCAACATTCCCACGCTTCACCAGATCAGCAGTCCTGTGACACACTTCCTGTGATTGACAGTTTAAAGGAAAAGAAGTGAGGGAGAAATGGATGGAAAAGAGAGTAATGACGTGCTCAAGCATGTTTTAACAAAGACATTTTGCGCTCGTTCCTTGTTCCAAGTCAATTTTTTTCTTGTTCTTGGTTTCATTCTTAATTTAGGAAAAAAACAAAAAAAATTGTATGTTGAAAGGAATAGTTAAATTCAGTCAACATTTACTCACCTTACTTGTCGTTACAAATCCATAAAAAAAAAAAAATTTTTTTGATTTAAAGTTTTTCCAATTTAAATAAATGGCCACTGAATGTTACACTTCAAACAGGACACAAAAGCATAATAAAAGCATAAAAAGGGTCCATATGACCTTTGCTCTATAATGTAAGTCTGAGAGAAACGGAACAAAATTTAAAGGCACAACTCGCATGAAAATAATAATGTCAACATTTACTCATCCTCATGTCATTCCCAACCATGACTTACCATACTTTCTTCTGCTGAACAAAAAAGACATTTTGAGAAAAGTTGGTGACCAAACAGACTGCAGTTTTATGGAGGGGGCATGTTCTTCTTTGTTTTACAGAAGAAAGATATACACTAGGAATGACATGAAGGCGATTAAATGACAGAATTTAAATTTTTTTGATGAACTATCCCTTTAAATAATTTTTCACCAATTACCTTCTCCTTCAGTGAGTTGGTAACTGCTGTATAATTTTGAGTCACTGAGCTTGAGAACTGGATCAGTATGATTAATGAACAAATCATTCAGACCTTTCTTGTGAATCTGGTGAACTGATTCATTAAGACGATTCAACTCAAAAGAACAGTTATGAATCAGAGATCACTATTTCTATTAAAAAATAAAAAAAATTACTTGCATTTCTTTAGAACAATTGGTAAACAGCGCACAAATCATATAGACCACTTTTATGGTTATTTATTGGTCAATTCGTGGTTTTGGAGACAAGATAAACTTAAAAAAATAATTTAAAAAATCACCTTTTGCATTCCACAGAAGTGAGTGAGTAATTTGGGTGAACTCTCCCTTTACTAATGCTAAAAAACAAGGGGAAGACACAAAGAAATTAGTGACACATGAATTAGGCTTCTAACAATCTTGAAAATGATTGTTACCTCTTCCTGGCCAGCTACACTTAAACCCCGTTCATCTTCCTGTCTCATGTCATCCATCACATTCAATCACCTCACTATCAGCTCTAAGCGGCAGCGGCAGGACTGCGTGATGGACACGGAGCTGGAGGATTATGGGTCGCTGTGCTGGCTGCTGGTTTGTTTTGGCATTTCATCAGACAGTGAGATCTCCGTAGTGAGCGAGTCCTGAGCGATGAGTCTGTCTCACTGGCCCTTTGTGTCTGAAGACCTGAAAATGCTGATGTGAATTAACTATTAAAGGAAACACAGGTTAGGAACACCTCTCTCTTCACAACCCTTTGAATAAGAAGTGTACAGAACATAACTGATTGACATATTTAATGTCCATTTGGAGGAGGAGATGTTTCGTATCAGCACAGGCTGTAAACTCATGTTCATCGACAGAATGAAACAATACAGATACATGAATTGTCGTTCAGAAGAGGCTTCCACAAAATTAATTTGAGACCATTTGGCAGAGGACAGACAACCAGACAGAGCTATATTACTAAAATACCGGATTCAATATTCACTTTGCATATTTCATTTAATAACAGTTTTGAATTTGTTGTGTATAGTTAAGTACGAAAAACACAAAACAGAAATATATGAAAAACAAGGCAAGGACAAACATAACAGTGAATCAAATAAACATTGCACCTTGATTTTGATTTGTATTTAAGTGGACCGTAGGACTAAACTAAAATACAGTAACAGTACACAGTGAGAGACTGACACTGCTTGACTGTAAACCAATGTGTTAAATGAACAAAATGACAACAAAAGCATGCATCTAGTGACATATCTTTATCCCTTTGTCTGAAAAGACCTCACCCAGTTCATTCAATAAATGATGATTCTGTCAACATTTACACACCCTCATGTTGTTACTAGTGATGCACCAAAATTATTTTTAACAATAATACAGAAAAACAAAGTTAATTTAGTCATTTAGTCAAAAAACGAAAATAAAGGTTGGGTAAATAAATTTGGGTAACTTCAGGGTGCAATGTTCTTAGATGATAAATTAAAGCAGTCATAGTCTTAGGTAATGAGCCACCTCTTGATATTTCAAACTAATTTTACATTCTGCTACTTTAGCTTTCATTTTTCTCACGTTGAAATGTGTCCAAACTTCTGACATGTTTACTCTGCTGTACTTTTCCACGTTATGTGCACAAAACAGACAGTCAAACTGCATCATCTGAGAAGCGCTAATTACATTTTTTTTAAGACTGTTTACGATAGAACCGATTTTTTTCCCGTTTCGGCCAAATATCTTGGGTTGCTGAAATTTCAGAGCATCACTGGTGGTTACAAATCCATTAAGTTGGGCACCAAAAATAATAAAGTACCATTAGTCTGCATGACTTATGTTCTATATTCAAGCTATACAATAGAACTGAATTATGACAGAATTTTCATTTTTGAGTGAATTAATCTTGTCTGAAATGCCTTGTAACATTTGAGGTTACCATTTCACATAAATTTCAAAGAGATTCAATTGTGGAAGTGCTGCTGTTAGACTTCCAAGACTCTTGACTAATCAGCTCAGACTGAGTACATTCCCTCATATGTTCTTTCCAAATGCCTGCCCTCAACAACAGCTAGTCCTTGTGGACTGGGCAATAAAGGAAAATGTAAAGAAAAGGGGATAGAGGAAAAACAGAGAGATGAAAATGAAACAAAGTTGTAAGCTTCTGCACACATCGGGTTATACTGTACATTAATAAAAGTTCTGTCTACAAGGACCCTGAGACTTGGATCAGCCAAGAGCACTTACTAAAAAGGCTAAATAAATCCTCACAGCTCTGATTTTAATTAAAAAATCTCAATAGGGAATGGGCTAAAAAAGTAACAGTCCAAAGAATATCAAAATATATTAATTTTCTATTTAAATAAAATCACTTTGGGCCCACTGAACATCACATGACCTCCCCTATGTATATGGTTAATGCTGTGCTGATTAAACTAGCTGCAGAGTAACAGGCCAATGGAGTACGGTGTGCTAAGTTCTGAAATACAAAAATGTGTACTTTGAGCACAGAAAAATAACAACCATCCCTTTGGTTTCTATAAACTAATGTTAAAAATATACCAAGGAGTGGTCAACACCACCAGACCAATTGATTGGCAGTCTGAAACACTATCTCAGCGGCTGCTAACCAATCAGACGTTTGCTGACTTTGAGTGCAGTTACACCAGTTCAGCTATATCCACCATGACAAAACAAAAACAAACCTATACGCTTCCACTTTAGTCTCCCGAGAATAGATCAACCACTTCAGATGTATCAAGAAAACTAAAATATTTTCCATCACCATCTACAGCCAAAAATAAAATACACAATAAAACAAAATCTTTCACAGCTCTTAAAGTCCCCCCCCCCCCCCCCCACTTGCCCCTTTTCTCTTTTTCCTCTT